TTGAGGAGAGCAGTCCAACTCATCACTGCTCCACATCCAGGGCTCCTTCAGAAGGAGTCCCGTGGGTGCCTTCTCCTCGCTCTCGCTCCCTTCTCTTTCCTCTCCTCTCCTCTCCTCTCCTCTATCTCCTCACCTTTCCTCGACTCCTCTCTCTCGTGCTCTCAATCTCGCCCTCTGGGTTTGCGGGTGTAGGAGGAGTGGGATGTGCACACAACTAGCACAGGGGTTGGGGCGTGGCCACATGCCAGGGCTGGGCAAGAGTGCACCACTGCGGGATGGGAAGGAGCAGATTTGACAGATGGTGGGGGAGGGACCTTCAAAACGCCACGGTGTGTGTGTGTGTGTGTGTGTGTGTGTAACAGAATGAAAAGGTAACAATGGGTGATCATCTGTCGCCAGAGCCTTGCGATGTGTCGGGATGGATGGAGGTGGGGATGTTGTGGGAGAGTGCATAGGGGTCCTGTGGAATCGCCCCCACCTGGAATGGGCCTTGCCCAGTGGTCTTGGTCCACGCAGGTGGCCAGCAGGCCTCCAACGGGGCCAGACCCCATGGTTCCAGGTGTTGTCCCCTCCAGAAGGTTCCCTGCCAGCGCACCTCTCCTGCTTCCATGGGCACCCTCTTTCCCAGACTCCCCTGAGGAGCCTGTCCAGTGCCGCAGCGCAAGGTCCTTGCTGGTCTGGGCTCGCCTCTCCGTGCCAGGCTCAGTAGTGGACCCAGGAGAACTTTGCACAGTGGCCACAGCACATACACCCAGACAGCCAGGAATGCACATGCGCACGAGCAAGGCCGGCCCCTTGGCTTCATGGGTGCTGTCTTGTATAGGCCCTGCTGGGCACCCAGTCTTCACCCTTCAAGTCCTTGCAGCTGCCAGGCCAGCCACCCCCGGAGAAGGCAGCTCCCAGGCCAGCTGACTACACCCCCCAGGTCCTCGGGCCGGGTCTCCGGTGCACCCCCGGGCTGACACTCAGGTGACCTAGCCCAATCCACACTCAGTGCCAATTCACAGTGACCCTGCCAGACAGGGCAGGGTAGACCTGCCCCGGTGAGTTTCGGAGATGAAACCCTTTAATAGACTAGAAAACCAGGTATTTCTCCCCATGGAGCAGCTGGTTATTTCCAACCACTGACTTTGCTCATCACTGCCGAATGCTTAACCACGACTCCACCAGTGGGGTGACTCAGGGCACAGAGGTGGACCAATAGCCCCTTCCGATAGGGGTCCACGGGATGCTTGGATCCATGGCAAGGTCACCACAGCCTCTGATATGCGCCCACCACCCCGGAACAGCCTGGATGGTGGCGCTGGTGGCCTTGAACTCAGGCGGCATCAGATCAAGGCGATGCGGCCTCCTTCTGCAGCCTTCAGACCCGCAAGGGCCAGGGGGTCAGCAAGGCCAGCCACCAGCCTTGCTGTGGTGGCGTGCCCTTGGTGGCCATTGGCAATGGCAGGTCCAGAGTGCGGGTGACAACTGCTAGAAGGCTGGCTTGCTGGAGCTGCTGCAGGACCCCTTTCTGACCTGGCCTGGTCCCCACTATCTTTGCAGCACCCGGGACTCCCACCCACCCCATGCTGGCTGGCATCCTAAAGGGCTGAGATGGGGAGCCCAAGGAGGGTCCAACTCAGAAGGTCCAGAAGACAGGTAAGACCGCACCGCTGCCCCCACCCCCAGGCCTCCAGGAGGGAGCTCCAAAGCTCTGTGGCAGAGTGTTCCTGTCCTGCCCAGTCTGGGCCAAGATGGGCCAAGGATCCGCTGGGGATGGCAGGTCTGTTGGCCTTGCTGTACCCGGCAGTGACCTCTAGGGGGCCGCGCTGTCTGACGGAATCGCCAAGAGCCAAGCACATGGTTTTAGCATCCATGGCTACCTGGGAGAAAAAACCTGGCAATATGCTCGGGGATAGATTGCTGCTGCCCTGGCTCAGACTGACTCATGTGTACATCCCAGGGCCGCACCGCCGGTTCCCACAGCAGCCTCGCTGTTGATGCTGTGTGTGGAGCCCAGGCCTGTGGTCACTGGGTCCAAGCACCTTGTTGAGGGTCTTGTCCTGGAGCACGCCAGAGCCCTTTCCATCAAACGCTCCCGGAGCATCAACTCTTCTCCGGTCTCCCTCAGACCAGGGCCATCTCCCAGCTGCACCGGGGGCAGCTGAAGGCACCTTGGCTCACGTCAGGCGCTCCTTGGTGCCCAAAGGGACACCCTTGCCCTACCACACCTGAAAGAGGGCTCCTGCAGCAGATGTGCCCCACGCAGTCAGTCCGTCCTCGGATCTCTCCAATGCTGCTTCCTTCGGCGAGCATGGTTTGTGGAACCAAGTGAGGGGTCGCCCCGGGCAACTGCCATCTCTCTCCCTTTATTTATGTCGAGCTTCTCTCAGGGTTCTGTGGGTGGGACTTTGGTCTTCTGGACATTGAGTTCCGAGACACCCTGAAGGCTGCACGTCTTTGATCTCCATCAGTGACCGCTTCAGGTCCTCCTTGGGCTGGGCACGCACAGTTGCTTCCTCTGCTTGTTGAGGTTCTTGATAAGCCTTCCTTCCACCCGATGCGGCTTGCTGGTGAGTACCGCCCACGACACTCTGTGAGGCAGCTGGGCTCTGGCCGATCCTGTCGCCAGAGTCAAAGTCCACGGGCTGCACCCACCGCCTCCATTCCAACAGTGGCCACATAGAAAGTCCAGTGAAGGTGGGAGTGGGGGTGCATTTTAACAGTGTGGTTCATTGAGTCCAACGTACCCCAAAGTATTATCATTTCAAGTGGAGTTCAGCATGAAACATGAAGAGCTAGCTCACTCTCCTCTATGTCGCGGTCTTCCTTTGTCTCCTTCAGCTCTGCGTCTTGGAAATCCTGTTTGCACTTGACCCTCAGTGCATTCAGATGAGCCATCTTTCAAGTGTCCCGGGAGCCCTGGTGGCGCTGTGGGTTTGGCGCTGGGCCGCTGACCCCTAGGACGGTGCTGCAAGCCCACCAGCTCGGCTTGTGGTCACACTGCCTGCCTCTGGCTTTCCTATAGCAACAAGCGCCAAGCCCCCACCCCACTGTGCACCCCATTGCCTGGAGGCAGGTTTGGCGGGTGCCCCACCATATCCCCAATGGAGGGAGGCCACTCAGGTGGGAGCGGGCTGGAGGCATGGCCAGAGGCTCTCCTGCTCCCCAAACACCACCCCAGCCCCACCTTCTCCAGACTGAGCTTCTCTGCCAAGGGACCCAGGTGCCTCGGGCAATCTTTGTGGAGAACCCCCTCCCCTCGGAGAGAATCCTCAGCTCCCTGAGGGTCGGCACGCCTGGGCCCCTCCTCTGCAAGGTCAGCTTCTCTCCAGGGTTCGCTCTGGGGATGGTCTGTTTCTGAGGATGATGGTCACTCTCAGTTGGAATTGACTCGGCAGCAGCAGTGGGCTTAGGTAGGGGGAGAACCGATGAGAGTGGGCTTGGGGGGTGGTGATGTGATGACTGGGCTTTGGTGGGGGGTAATCTCTGTAGAATCCCACTGGGTTACAGGAAACCCTCCAAGTCTTCCCCCTCCCCCACCAAAAAAAAACTACTGTGGAAGCCCTAAAACACAGGGGCCTTTCTCCTCTCCTCTTTACCGTCACGCACGGAGAAGGGCCTACAAATGAGTTCTTACACATCTTCCCAGCCGGGACGAGGTGGGACCAGGACGCAGTGTGGGAGGGCTGCCTGGGGCCCAGTGAGGGTTTCTCCCTCTATGCAGGGCCAGCAACTCTGCCAGGCTCCCAAGCGGATAAAGGACATCAGGCTCCGCCCCTCCCTTGTCTTACCCTCCTCAACTCCACTTCAAGGCCACCTTGAAGTCTCAGCAAGCTGGGAGGGAAAGGTCACCCAACCCTTTGAAAATTGCTCAGAAATTTCTTACAGGTAACATACACCTATCCTGTACCTTACACAGGCCCCTGTCCCCCTGCTACCCTGGCAGGTCCTTTCCCCTCCCTTGGGCCCCATAGCAGAGATGAGATTCAGCAACAACACTCAACAATTTATTGAAGAAAAACACAAACTGGAAATGTCGAAGGGAAGGGATCACAACTGAGGGGGCAAGTCACTCCCACCAGGAGCCCCCAGTGCCTCGCTCCCCCTGGCTCCCAACGGGCCCCGTGGGACGGACAGGGAACAACACTGGAAAACATGGCAGAGCACAGGGCACCACGTGAAGGAAACGGAGTCCCAAACAACAGCTAGGGTGGATCTTGAAACACGGTCTCCGCAAGTCTCCTTGCAGCTGCCGGGACCTGGGGTCCATCCTTCCTCCTGGCCAGTGTTGGCTCTCAGGGTGAGGGCGGCCACTCCTTTGTCTGTGTGTGCTGCCCACTGTCCTCTGGGCCTCAGCCATGCTCTCCAGGGAGGCAGGAGCTGCTGGCGGGTGGTGGTGGGGGCACAGGCACACACACACACACACACACACACACACACAACATCAAGTACCAGTTGGGCAGACACTTTATTGGAAAAGCAGGACCTGAGGTCCCAGTGCAGTGGACCAGAGCTGGCTGGCCTCAGGGTAAAGGCTGTCCCCTGGCCCCCTGTGTGCTGAACTGGCAGGCTCAGTGGCTGGTGTGGGGTTCAGTGTTTGGGACTACAAAGACTCAAGAGGACTCTTTAGAATCATGAGCAGCCCGATTGAAAGGAACTATATGTGACCTCCTCCCTGGGGGACGGACAACAGAAAAGTGGGTGAAGGGAGACGTCGGACAGGGCAAGATATGACAAAATA